ACCAAAAAAACTAAGAACCTTCTAGCTAAAACAGAGCTTGCTGGGCAGAGGCAAACCAATCCTGGAAAAAGGCAGGGGATTCCTTCAGCTCCTCCCACAACTAATACAATGAAACATTTCCTATACTAAAACATACTAAGGCCTGAACTAATATAAAAGAAAATGCAAGGGGAGATTCAAACAGTCCTAGCTGGACATCACAGCTTGGCTTTAGGCAACATCTTTCTTCCTGCCTTTGTCCATGAATGACCATAATTAAAACTGAACTTGTCACATCATCACTATACCCACAAGTTTTACAACTCTCTTCCTGGTCACACATACAACTAGTCCATTCAAACTTTAAAGTTCTGCTCCTAGGCACTTCATTCCATTATCTCATGAAGCAGATATGAAAACTATTAAAGCTTATGCTACCAACTTCTACCCAAAGGCACCTTAAAACAATATTAATATAACCTCCACCTGGTACAGCTTGACAGGAACAGTTCAGATTGATCCTCTGGCATCCTATTTTTTTCAGCTGCTTTTAAAAAGTCCTGGTTTCTCCCTCCCCCTTCCCGCTGTGTCCTCAGATTACTTCACTTGCTGTAAACTGCGGTCAAAGTGTAAAAATAGTTGCACTCAATTAATAGTGTGGGGAAGAGGATAGAAAGGCAGAATTTGGCACTTCCCTGTAGATTCAGGCGAAACCAAACTGCTGCAGCCTCTTCTAGTTTGTGTGTTCTTCCTCAATCATACCTTTTGCCATCTTGATCACACAGAGATATTGTTTGGCCACATGTGTCCCGGATTTCAACTGTGAAATCCAGAAAGGAAAAGAATACCAATCTCCAAAACAACACTGGCATATGTTTGACTTATGTCATTAAGAGCCTTTGAGCCTTTTATTTGGTAAGTGAGTAAAATGTATGGGATCAGGCTGTTAGTCTTGGAAATGAGTCCACATCTGAACATTTGTGTGCTGCGGTCTTGTTGTTGGGTGCCTTCAAGTTGTTTCTGACTTATGGAGATCCTATCACAAAACTATCTTTTTTTTTTTTTTTTTTTTGGCAAGATGATTTCAGAGTAGGTTTTGCCTTTTCCTTCCTGTAAGGCATGACGACAACGACGATATTTATTTATGTCTTTATTTCTATCCTACATTTCTCCCCCTATAGGCACTCAAGGCAGCTACCAACAAATTTAAAACAGTTTGTTGTTGTTGTGTGCCTTCAAGTTGACTCCAACCTATGGCAACCCAAAGGGGTTTTCTTGGCAAGTTTCTTCAGAGGGGATTTGCCATTGGCTTCCCCTGAGGCTAAGAGAGTATGACTTGCCCAAGATCACCCAGTGAGTTTACATGGCCGAGCCGGGATTTGAACCCTGGTCTCCAGAGTCATAGTCCAATGTTCAAATCGCTACACTAGGCTGGCTTCTCAGTGCCATGATCTAATGTACTCTGTACAGTGGCACTTCATCACCTGTGGGCTTGCTGTCCATGGATTTCACCATCTACGGATAGCAAGCCATATTGTGCCAAATGGTGGTGCTTGCACGTGGTCACAAGTGGCTGCACACATAGCGCATCACCATTATGGACAACGGAACTAGAGTTCCCGTGGTTTTTCGTATCCATGGGGGCATCTGCAACAGATCCCCCGCAGATACAAAGGTCCGACTGTATTTCATTTCTATTTATTCACTTTAACATCTATGCCACTTCTCCTGGAACAGGTGAGACACGGGCATCAATAGAAACACAAATTTTGGAACAACTCAAGGACCCCACTCACTTTAGGCCAGGGGACAGCAACCTAAGGCCTGTGGGCCAGGTGCGGCCCGCGGAGGCCTTCGGACCGGCCCCTGCCCGGTCCTGTCGCCGCTGCCACCGCCTTTCACTGCTGCGGGGGTCCTCTGGGGTGCCATTTTGGATTACAAAATGGCACCCCGGAGTCTCGCGTGACCTTTTGCGCGAGACTCCGGGAAAGGTTGTGTGAGACTCTGAGAGCCATTTTGGAATCCAAAATGGCGCCCCGGAGGACCCCCGTGGCTGCACCGGGCCTCTCAGAGGAGGGAGCCCTCCTGGGGGGCCCCCGCGGCTACGCTGGGCCTTTCGGAGGCCCGGCACAGTCGAGGGAGCCCTCCTGGTAGTGTGTGCATGTGCGTGCCGCCACAGCCCAGGGGGCATCAGGGGAGAGGGGGACTGACCCCACCCCCAAAAAGGTTGCCGACCCCTGCTCTAGGCTATTGTTCGCATTCTGCCCCTGGCAGCTGTCCATCGCTTGACTACTGCAAGGTCGTGGCCAGACTGTCCAAGGCTCAAGCCTACTCCATCCGTGTGGGTGGAAACAAAACTCTGCCAGTTACAGAAAGTCCACTGAAAGTTGAGTCAATAGAGTCAGCACAAATGTCTTAGGCACATTCAAATACAAA